CCTGTTAGTGTTACAAAATTAATTGGTTGAAAAATATCTACATTAGTGAGTAAATTATCAAACTTGCTATGTAGAATTGTAAGCTATAAGTGAATTTACTATCGACTCTCAGAGCCATTTTCTTTTCTGTTGATGTCTTTCTCAGTTTTGAACAATAAAACTATTTTAGCAATTTACAGGAAAGTACTTACTTGTTCTCTGTAGCATGGGAACATGAACGAGGCTCATCCAAAAGTGGTTTCAAGTAATTATGATGCAACTAATAAAAAAAGGAGCCAGAATACATCCTTACTTTAATTATGTTTCAAAATTCAATTAATCAAATCTTTACTGAATGTTCAAGATGTGCCTGACCCTATGCTAAATGCCAGGGATTCAGTAATGGTCAAGGATGATCTCATATACAGGTACCATTGTCCAGAGTTAAAGCAGAGCTCAGTTCAATGAAAAACTGTAAGCAGTCTTCTTTTATTACTTACAGAATTCTCCAGAAAAGTGATAAAGTGTGTATACAACTGCCAGCAGTAGAATATTAGGTCCCAAATAGTCATTTAGATTATGAACACACTGTGAATGATGGATTATTGAAGAAGATATTAGATTAGAATTCAGGTGCCATTTCTAGTTAACCAATGAGTCTTTAATTGAGGGGGATTAATTTTTTTTTTTATGTACTAATATTGAGCTCTTTCAACCTGGGGAAGAGCTCTAGAATTTATGAAGGTATTTAAATTGATAAAGTTCAAAATCCTCCCATCAGAGTGAGCTTTGAGTAATTTGATGCTTTTACAACTTTTTTTTTTTTTTAATTGGTATCTCACTCTGTTGCCCAGGCCGGAGTGCAGTTGCATGATCACAGCTCACTGCAGCCTCGAACTCCTAGGCTCAGGTGATTCTTCCACCTCAGCCTTCTAGGTAGCTGGGACTACAGGCTCCACCATGCCTGGCTACTTAAAAAAAATTTTTTTTTGGATAGATGAGTTCTTGCTTTATTGTCCAGGCTGATCTTAAATTCTTGGGCTCAAGTAATTCTCCTTTCTCGGACTCCCAACGTGCTAGGGTTACAAGTGTGAACTACTGTGCCTAGTTGATGCTTTTAAGACTTAAACTTTTAAGTTAATTATACTATTTGAGGAGATTACAGGCTTTTATTAAAAAAGGAGTTTAGGCTGGGTGTGGTAGCTCACACCTGTAACCTCAACTCTTTGGGTGGTCAGTATGGAAGAATCATCTGAGCCCAGGAGATCAAGGCTGTGATCATGCCACTGCACTCCAGTTTGGACAATAGAGTGAGACCCCTGACTAAAAAAAAAAAAAAAAAAAAAGTTTAGAGGCCCCAATTCAGGGCAGTTTATCAGGGTCCCAGATACCAATCAGGATGCAGCCTCCGTGTTCTCACCAGGTTCACACCAATGTCCAGAATTTTCTCTTATACATGGTGTAATGGCCAAGCTGTAATCTTCCTCAAGAATTTACTAAACTAGAATTGTTTGGAGATGGTAAGAAAAGGATAGTAGTGTTAGGGTCACACTCCCAGCTGGGCCTCCAGAATGTTAAATCAGGCTTACTGGGGGTGTAGGGTGTCTGGTGTGTGATCCGATGCCATGAAAAAGATGCAAAGAATTGCACAAAAGTTAGGTTTAAAAAGATATTTTATTTAAAAGTAAATCAGAGAGAGAAATAAAGAGGAGATTCACCTCCTCAATATAGTGAAGGGGACTAAAGCCAGGAAACATGGCGACAGCCATAGCTCAATGAGCACATGGCCACACCAGAGTCTAGTAAGGCAATGCTGATGGCAGTGGTCGTGGCAATGGCAAATGGCTGCTTGTAGTTGAGTCCTTTTAACCATTTCCCTCAGATAGGGGAAGGTCATTAAGGTGATTGGGTGGTGGTCTGCTCCATGATGAAGGGGCAGATAAGCACAGGTACTGACATCAGGTGATAGACAGCAGGCAGATGGGTACATTAGTAACATGACTGCTGCCATGCTGGTGGGCTAGAATGGGGGAGACAAGGGGAGGCATTTTTGCTGCAAGAGACTTATTAGATGTTTGCGTTGTGATCCACAAACTCCTTGACCAAAAGGTGGTCATATTATCATTTCTATAACTTTGACCAGCCAAGGGGTGATCTTTGATCTTCTGCCTCCACAAGAAACCTATCTGAAAGTTTACTAGAGATTATTATGCTAAACTATGAATTGAAAGGTTGGGCTGTTGGGCTGTCCTGGTCTTGCATCTGATGGAGATTAGCCAAGGGGGTGGGGTAGGCTGCTTGACCTGCAGTTGAATGTCTGAATGCTTCCTAAAACCTATCTGTTGGAAATTTATCTATGTCTAACCTGTGCTAGATTCAAAGCATGTCAGGGGTAAAGTCTAAGGAAAAATGGCCATGCTGAGGCAAAAAGACTATGCTAAACTAAGTTTATTCTAGGTTTCTTTAGGTACCTCCTTTCAAGTAATATTCAGGAGTAGGAATGGAGTGGTTCTGCTTTGCTAACCTGGCCAAAATGGTTGCCCTTTTCAGCTAGTTCAATCATGCCAGGACTTGGAACAAGTGACCTCCACATTGTTCCAAATATGGGCAGTTGAGGCCAGATTTGTCATTTCCCATCTGTTAAGAGATATCCAGCCGGGCTCGGTGGCTCAGTCTGTAATCCTGCGCCTTTGGGAGGCTGAGGTGAGTGGATTGCCTGAGCCCGTGGGTTCGAGACCCGCCTGGGCAGGGAGACCTCATCTCTTCAATAAATCAAAAAGTCAGCCGGGCGAGGTAGCGCGTGCCTGTAATTCCGGCTACTCGGAAGGCTGAGGCGGAAGGATCGCCGGAGCCCAGCAGGCGAGGCTGCAGTGGCCGGGAGCGGCCACTGCACTCCAGTCTGGGCGACAGAGTGAGACTCCAACTAAAAAAAAAAGAGATATCCAATGAGTTCTTAGATATGTTTCCCTTGTAAATATGGTTGATGAATTAAAAACTAAGAAACAAGAAGTGTGTTGTTTCTTTTTTCATTCCTCTCAACCAATTTGTTTTATATCACTTTCCTAATTAGTGTTCCACTGTCGCTTTGCATGATCCCAGTCGGCTATAGTATACTGAGGGAAGTCAGGTTTTTAAAATGTTAACAGTTTCCAAATGGAGTCTGTCAAAATAATCCTTGTCTTGGACACTTAATCCCTGAAATTCTGCTTTACTGTTGGCAGCTTCATAGGCCAAATACAATCTTATTAGTTCTGCAGCTAAAGACAGATACAGTCCTAGTGTATCTGAGTTTTAACAGATAAAAAATTAAATGATTCTGATTCTACATGATAAGGGCATAATGAAGGGGTACAAACAAAGAGAAGAGAGTCAAAGCATGTTGGATATAATCCTTGGTTTAAAGAATGTTGGTTTATAAGCACTACGTGCTACCTTGGATTCTTGTGGGCTCTGGATGAGAATCATACATGTGACCCAGACTCTCCCAGGGCTGGGGTGTGGGAAGTTGACAGGGACAGTTTGTTGAGAGTGTAGGAATGCTTTATATAGGAGAGGATTACACTAGATGTCTGAGATCCCTTCCAGATTTGAGAGATAGTGATTTCGTGGATACTATAAGACTGTCTTTATTACTTAATATAGATTAGGCTATGGTGTGGCAAAAGATAAATCCTAAAATCCTGATTTGCTGCAACAAAGGTTTATGTCTCACACAAGTTCCATGCCAGTTGGGCAGTTTTCCAGGGTGGCTGACCTCCCTGAGGTTGCTCAGTGCTTCAGGTCACTTTCATCCTGTGCTTTACCTTCTCAGCATCTGGCTTGCAGGGTTGCCACATGGTGGAAGGAGATTGCTGGAGGCTGGCACAGAACTTTAAAGTACTTTGTCTCAGAGGACCCGTGTGGTTTCCATACAACCCGCTGGCCAGGGTTACTCACCTGGCCTTACCTTCTAGCACAGAGTCTGGGAGGTGGGGGTTGGGGAGCACATCAAAACATGGTCAGTAAGTGTCACTGACAAACTTCCAGTCTTCCCCACCCCCACTCCTTGTCCTTTCAGTCCCAGGTCTAGGAATATTCCAGGTTACCATCTTGCCAAACTGGTCACGAGAGAGGTCTTAAAGTGCTGTGGTTTAAGAGCATAGTGTCTCCAATCGCCAATTTCCGGCTGTGGATTTTGGGCAGTGTGCTTAATCACAACTATTTGTGCCAATTTCTTTATTGATAATGTGGAGACAATAGTAATAGTACCCAGACTAAGAAGGTGGTTGTGATGTTCAATTGAGATAATATGAAAAGGAAGTGGTTAGCACAGTGCCTGCATATGCTTAGGCTCCATGGATTAGTACATTTTCAGTAAGTGCTAGCTGGATGAATTTGAGCATGAGTGTGAATTAGCAGATATCCACAACTGGGAAAGCAAGATACAGATTATGCTGCTGGAGAAGTGGTGTAAATAAAGCAGAGGGTCTGTTAACCTTCTGATGTGGTGCCTTCTCATCCCATGGATCATGGTCTGACTTCCACTTGCTGTGGACAGGCCCATCAGGAAAGGGAGAGGCAGAGAGAAAAGAGCCAGTCTGTGCTGAGCAGTGGATACTGTGCCAGGAGCATTTCACTGAATCCTTCACAGTTCCTTGGGGGAGGTTGGTGACTCTAACTGCATTTTATAGACAAGGAACTGAAGCTTTAGCAAAGGCAAGGCACTTGCCCAAAGGCATACAGCTGGTAAGTAGTGCAGTGAGATTTCAACCATCTCTGGGCCCAATTCACAGCCCACAGAGGGAAATGGCCACTCCCAGAGCCCCGGGGAACTCTTTTTTTCTCCCTAGGATAGTCCTGAATTACTACATGAAGCATTCTTCTGCTTTGTCCTGCTGAATTTGAGTGCTTTTTCCTTCTTTGAGTTTATCTTTTATTTTGACTGATTTACTGTTTTTCTAACACATAATATTTGGTAGTATTTATCCTGAAACCAAGCTAACAAGGCAGTTGAAGTATCTGTGTTCCGTTTGAAACAACAGGCGTGTGAAACTGTTGAACCTTCCTGCTAGCCTCCGGCCACACAAAATGAAAAGCTTGCTGGGTCAGAACATGTCGACCAAAAGTCCCTTCATCTATTCACCGATTATTGCACACAACCGTGGAGAAGAGCGGAACAAGAAAATAGGTAGGACACTTATCCTGCTTTCTGTCTGTGCTCTGCCCCTGATTTCCTTTTTAGATTTTTCAGAATGGAATTTCAGGTCAATTCAGTCATGCGTGTACACACACATGCATGTGTGTGTGTGTATATACTCTCATGTATGTTTATTTGGTTTGCTGCCTTAGGCAGATCTGATTTTTAAAAAGCCTATTTCATATAAGGTGATTTTGTAGAAGTTCTAGGAACCAGAAAGACTTCTGTTATTTGATCCTTATGTGAACTACAGAAGAGCGTTAATTGGAGATTAGAGTGACTTTCCAAGGTCTGATGTGATTTCTGAATCATCAAAGAAAGATTGAGGGTTGAATTATGTTCAGTATTGCCTAGGGGATGAGGTCCTTCTATTATTTTCTCTTGTGAACACAGGTGATTAGGTTAGATAGTCCTGGGATTGAGCTGTGTTGGGAATGGGACACTCTCATTCTTGGAAATTTCTCCTGTGCTTTTTCTGTGTCTAAGTTCTTGACCACTTCCCAGCCCAGACCTTCCCATGTCCTTCCTGTAGCAGACCCAGGGCTCGATGGGTTCCACTTACACTGTCCCTCGGCATCCTTTACGAAGCCTGGCGGTGACACTAGGTTCTGCCTCCCTCTCTGCCACAAAGACAAACCCAAGGGCCCCTTGCTTTTGAGATTGTGGTTGCTGGTCATTGGCAATCACTGCTGATCAAGCCTGCATATTGCGGTGACAAATCTCAAGGGTTTGGAAGCGGGCTTTGCTTGGTGACTGCCGATTTCTTCCTAAGAGTATAAGTAGAGACCCATGGAACTTTTGTACTCTGCTTTTGATATTCAGCATTTTTCTTTTTCCATCTCTATTTCTACTCTTAATTTCTATATTCCTATTTTACAAAAAAGGCATTCCAACTCCTCCTTCTGCGATGCTCTTCTTTCCAGGAGATAAACTTCCTGTTGCACTTACAAGACCTCCCATACCCTCATCATGGACTGCAGGCGCTGTGTGAGCAGGGCCAGGTCAGGCTCAGGGCTTTTATATTGCTGTTCCCTCTGCCTGGAACTCATCCCCTGGCTGTTGTTGGCTCACTTGCTGTCACATTGTTTTGGCCTCTTTTCTGATGTCCCCTTCTTAGAGGGTTCTCTGATTCCAGCACTTTACAGGCCACTCCTCCCATCCTCCTCTACCTGTGCTGCCTGGGTTTCTCTTCGTAGTCTTTTTTTCTTTCTCTTTTTCTTTCTTTTTTTCTTTCTCTTCCCCCCCTTTCTTTTATTTGAAAGATGTGGAGTACAATTCAGGATCAGGTATAAAAGTAGACATCATACAGGTAAAGTTTGGACCTCCCTTTGGTCCCCACTTTGCCTGGTTTGAGATCACATACCCTTATTGAAGTTGTGTTTCCACCTGCACCCTGGCCAGTATCCTGCTACTGCCATTCTCTTTCTTAGTGCTTTCTGTAAACGTTCAGGGTCCACTTATGAGTGAGAACATATGGTAGTCAGATCATTGTTTCTGTAATAGGTCACTGAGTATGATAGACTCTAAATCCATCCCAGTTGCTGCGAAGTTCATATGTTGGTCCTTCTTTTTTCTTTTTTTTTTTTTGAGTTGGAGTCTCACTCTGTCGCCCAGACTGGAGTGCAGTGGCCACTGCTGGCCACCGCAGCCTCGACCTGCTGGGCTCCAGCAATCCTTCCGCTTCAGCCTTCCAAGTAGCTGGAACTACAGGCGTGCGCTACCACACCCGGCTAGTTTTTGATTTATTGTAGAGATGAGGTCTCGCCAAGTTGCCCAGGCGGGTCTCAAACCTGCGGGCTCAGGCAATCCACTCACCTCAGCCTCCCAAAGGCGTGGGATTACAGGCTGAGGCACCGAGCCCAGCTTTGTTTGTCCTTCTTTATGGCTGTATAATATTCCATCGTGTGTGTGTGTGTGTGTGTGTGTGTGTGTGTATCACATTTTTTTATCCAGTCCAGTTTCGGTGGGTAGCACAGTTGGTCTCATGTTTTTGCTATTGTGAATAGTGCTGCAAAAAACATGCGTGCACAGGTATCTTTTGTAGAATGATTTAAGTTCTTTTGGGTATATTCCCAGTAGGGGGGATTACTGGGTCTTATGGAAGGTCAATTTCTAGTTCTTTTAGAAATCACCACACTGCTTTCCATAGAGGTTGAACTAGTTTGCATTCCCACCAGCAGTGTAGAAGTGTTCTCTTTTCTCCACATTCTCGCCAGCATCTGTTGTTTTATTACACTTATTTATTTTTTAAAAATTATTTTATTTTATTTTAAAGATGTGGGGTACAATTCAGGATTAAGTATACAGTGTTGTTTGTTTTATTAATGATAGCCATTCTTACTGGGGTTAAGTGGTATCTCAATGTGGTTTTGATTTGCATTTCTCAGATGATTAGTGAGGCTGAGCACTTTTTCATGTGTCTGTTTGCTGCTGTATATCTTCTTTGAGAAGTGTCTATTCATATCTTTTGCCCACTTTTTAATGGGGCTGCTTGTTTTTTTTCTTTTGGCATGGTTAAGTTCCTTGTAGATCCTGGATATTAGGCCTTTATCAGATATATAGTAGGCAAATATTGTTTTCCCATTCTGTGGACTGTCTCCCTGCTCTCTTGATGGTTTCTTTTGCTTTACAGAAGACTTTCACCTTTAATGAGGTCCCGCTTGTCTGTCTTATCTCTTATGACATGGGCTTTTGGGGTTTTGATCAGGGATTGGTTGCCTACTCTGATTTCTGTAAGAATATCTCCTGCGCTTTCTGTTTCTTATTGTTTGAGGTTTTACGTTTAGGTCTTTGATCCATTTAGAGTTGATTTTTGTGTATGGTGCTAGGTAGGGGTCCTGTTTCAATCTTCGGAATGTGATCAGCCAGTTTTCCCAGCACCATTTACTAAATAGGTTCTCTTCTCCCCAGTGGTTGTTGGTGGAAGCTTTGTCAAAGATGAGTTGGTTGAGAAATTGAGGTTTTGCTTCCAGAATCTCTATCCTGTTCCATTTGTCCATATGCCTGTTCTTGTACCAATACCAAGCTATTTGATTATGTAGTCTTATAGTAAAGTTTAAAGTCTGGAAGTGTGATACTTGCTGCTTTGTTTCTTTTGCTAAGGATTGTTTTGGCTATTTGTGGTTGTTTATGTTTCCATAAAAATTTCTGTATTGTCATTTCCAGGTCTGAAAGGTTGTTTATGTTTCCATAAAAATTTCTGTATTGTCATTTCCAGGTCTGAGAGGAATGATATTGGTAATTTAATGGTATTGCCCTGAATCTGTAGATTGCCTTTGGTAGAATGGACATTTTAACAATGTTGATTCTTCCAAGTCATGAGTATGGAACATTTTTCCATTTGTTTGTGTCTTCTTGGATTTCTTTGAGCAGTGTTTTGTGGCTTTCATTGTAGGGGTCTTTGACTTCTCTGGTTTGGAAGGTGCCGAGGTATTTTATTTTATTTTTGTGATTATTGTGAATGAGGTTGTGCTTTTTATTTACTTCTCTGCCTGTTTGTTGTTGGTATATAAGAATGTAACTGTCTTTTGCACATTTATTTTATACCCCGAGACCTTGCCAAAGTCTTTTATCAGTACTTGGAAGTTTTTGACAGATTCTCTTGAATTTTTGAGGCATAGGATCATATTGTCAGCAAAGAGGGATAATTTAACTTCCTCCTTTGCTATTTGGTTACCCTTGATATCCTTCTTTTGTCTAATTGCTATAACTAGGACATCTAACACAATGTTGAGCAGGAGGGGTGAGAGTAGGTAGCCTTGTCTTGTTCTAGTTTTCAGGGGAAATGCTTCCAGTTTCTGTCCATTTAGTAATATGCTGGCTGTGGGTTTATCGTAGAAGGAACTTAACTGTTTTGAGGTATGCTCTTTCTATGCCTAGGTGTTCAAGGGTTTTTTATTAAGAAGGGATGGTGGATCTTATCAAAATCTTTTTCTGCACCTAATGATATAATTATGTGGTTCTTGTTTTTACATCTGTTGATGTATTTAATTACATTTATGGTCTTGGGAATGTTGAACCAGCTCTGCATCTCAGGGATGAAGCCTACTTGGTCATGGTGGATGACTTTTGAGATGTGTTGTTAGATCCAATTTGCTAGAATCTTGTTGAGAATTTTGCATCTATGTTCATTAGGGTTATTGGCCTGTAGTTCTCTTTTTTTGTTGGATTTTTTCCCGGTTTGGGTATTGTGTGATGTTAGCTTTGTAAAATGATTTGGGGAGAATTCTGTTTTTCTCAATTGCCTGGAATACTTTCAATAGGGTTGGTATCAGCTCCTCCTTGTATGTTTTGTAGAATTCTACTGGAAAGTTGTCTGGTCCAGAGAGTTTTTTTTTTAATGTAGGTAGTTTTCTTATGATAGACTCAATTTTCTGGGTTGTTATTGGTCTATTTAGTGTTTCAGTGTCTTCTTGTTTCAACCTTGGGAAGTTGTGTGATGTCAGAAAATCCTCCATTTCATTTAGGTTTTCAAGTTTGTTTCCATATAGGTGTGCATAGTAATCTCTGATAATCTTTCGTATTTCTTTGGGGTCAGTTGTGATTTGATCTTTTGCATATCTGATTGTATTTATTTGGTTTTTTTTCTCTCTTTTCCTTGGTCATTCTGGCTAGGGGTCCATCAATCTTGTTTATTCTTTCAAAGAACAAGCTTTTTGTTTTGTTGATTTTTTTCTATGACATTTTTGTGTTCTATGTCCTGTTATTTGGGCTTTTACTTTGGTGATCTAGATTCTTCTGCTAAAATTGAGGTATTGGTGGTCTTGTCTTTCTAACTCCCTTAGGTAATTTGTTAGGCTGTTAACTTGTGGTCTTTCCATTTTTTTGCTGTGTATTTGTAGAGATATAAATTCCCCTCTTAGAACTGTTTTCATGGCATCCCAGAGGTTTTGGTAAGATGCTTCTTCATTTTCATTTGTTTCCAGGAATCTTTTAATTTCTGTTTTGATTTCTGTGTTGACTCAGTTGTTGTTCAATGTCATGCTGTTTAG